TTCTGCTCAGCTCTCAGGTGAGCAAAGGCCTGGAATCACTCATCCTGACAGCCACATCTGGTGCTACTTTCTCTGTCCTGTTGCCCTCGATTCTGCTCCTGCACACAGAAACCTCTTTGGTTAAACCACAGAAGGGAAGGAGTTACAATAATAGCGGTTATGATAATAGCATTATTGTTGGTTATTAATAAGATGGAGAACAGACAGTTTACTCTGGAGAAATATGCTTGTGAACTCTTTCAGCAATAAGCCTTTTCTTGCTGCATACATTTTATTCATGCTTTGTCCTACCGATAGCTGATTAGTACCAGGTGCAACAAGCATCACGCAAGCTGCTGTCTTTTTCTAACAGAGTGGGTCACTCAAATCTAGTGGTCTTTAAGAGATAAACGTAAATATAAGCAATATTGGAAAAAGGGCCACTTCAAAATCAGACTTTAGTTTAGAATAAAGCAGTGTTCTCTCTTAAAGCCATTTAGTTGTCTTTTAGAGAAGGAATATTGAATAACCTTGCCATTGTCAGCAGCTTGAAATCTAGCTGCCTTTTTTTCTTCCTGTCTTTTAAAACTGCTCGGAGAAGCTATCATTTAGCAAACTCAGATGGTCCTAAGACCTGAATTTTGGATGGATTTTAGCAGCAACCATCAAGAGAGTCTTCATCTGGTTCCTATTGAACCTAGGAAGTGTGGGTCACAGTTCAGGGCAATATTTAGGCTAATGGAATGATCCCAAACAGATTAAATTTCAAAACAAAACTCCAAGGTGTCCGCGAGAACCTTGCAATCACACCTTAGAATATAAACAAATACTTCTGAGACTTGTACATATACCAACAAATGTGGTAGGCTTTCAACCTTTCCTGCTCACGGAGAAGATTGTATTCTAATAGAGACAGCAGACATTAACATGAGTGAGCACTCAGCTGCAGCACATAAACGTCCAGAGCTTGATGCTCTGTGGGGCACGACACCGCAGGAGTCCATGATGGGAAAATCATCCTATGTGGATTCTCACTGAATGTCACAGAGAAAGGATCTTTAGTGGTTTGCTCAGATAAACTTAAACTCACCAAACCAACATTCATTCTTTGGTTAATGATCTGTTTTATATGTTTTTTTTTCTTTTGATCAACCCTCAAATGTTTCAAAATATCAAACGATGTTATTTTTAAACAAACGTAATCTGAATCAAATGCAAATCTGGAATTATGGGGGAAAAATTGCTTGTTAAATAGCAAGTTTGGTTTAATTGCCTGATTTCTGGGGATACTAAGACTGCGCTGCAATTAACTAATACCAGATTAGTTGATCTAAGAAATCAATTTTGATATAAAACTTATCAGCTAAACGATTTCAAAAAGGAACACATACTTTCCAAAAAAAAAAGAGTTTAAAGAAAGACATTAAAGCTGTTGACATCACTTTCTTTTCAGACTAAAGCAAACCGCTGTGAGCGCCTCTTTCCACAAATGGAAATAACATGAAACAAGAGGAGAATCTTCCCCACTGTTTTATGTTTTTTGTGTCCTGCCTATCAAAACTACCCCAAGAAGTCTCATCAAGGTTGTCACAGAAGAAACTAAAAGAGCATCTAAAGCATTGCATTGAAAGCCTTGAATCCTGATGTATCTGCTGTCAAACTAGTGCAACATTTAGTCAGAACTGACGGTCAAACTTGATGGTTGTAGTTTGACACCTATGGCTGCTTTGCTACTTCATGGTCTGGATAACATTCTATAATTGATGGAAACACAGATTCTGTTCTCTAGCAGAAATTCCTAAAGGAGAGTATCAGAATTGTTAATCACCCATTTGGGATCTTAAGCTCCATCGCATTTGGGCCATGCTGCAAGACAATGATCCAAACAGACCAGCTAGTGTGGGCCAGCATGTCTGAAAATAAAAACAAAACGGTTTTGGAATGGTTTTTCACATCCAGACTTAAATCCACTTGAGGTGCTCTGGCATGTCTTTAAGCAAAGTATTCAAGGTCAAAAACCTTATGCAAAGAAGAGTGGGATAATCTTCCCCCAGAGCAATGTGAACGTTTGAAGGTGTATTTTAGCAAATGGCAGTTGTTGCTGCCAAAGGTGGTACAACCACTGCTAAAGTATAGAACACCATCCCTTATTGAAAAACTACAGATTTATAAAGTTATTTTATATTCTTTTTCAAACAAAACTAAAAATTAAAGGTGACCATTTCACTTGAAATAATATTTGAGTTACAGTAAAGTTTCAGAAGTGATAAACCACTAAACACAAATGTTTCCAACATGACTTTTCTGTGTATTAGATATTTTCACTGTTGCTTAAAATCCCAGCCACAAAGTGCTACTCAACAAACCTCTTTCTTTGCAAAGTCTTAAAGTGATAAATTAACATTAGAATCTGAACAGCCTCTCCAGCTAATGTTACATTCTTTAAACTCATTTTAGCTCCGCTGCTCTCCTCTTCAAATGACTTGTCTGCAGCCTGGGGCAACTTCACGCAGTGCTTGTTGACTCACTGGAGAGGCTGCTGAATGACAGTGCAGACTACTGGAACAACGTGCATATAGGGTTTACAAACACAGACCAAACTATCAACATAAAATACTCCACACTTTCAAATGAATTAGCCACTATAAATGAGCTTGACAGATTACTAGTTTTAGATTTGAAAAAAGACAGATTTTTAAATTGTGGTCTTAGGTGAGAAACTTATTAGGATGTCTGCCACCCAGATCTAATGTTTTTTTCAGTGGATATAGTCTAAGAATGTCTTTACGTGCTTATCCTTGCAAGGTTATTCTGAAGTAGTTATTGAAAGAGAGTTGGGATACACCCTAAACAGGTCACCAGTCTATCCAAGAAATGCAACTGAAAGAAAATAAAAGATGAAGTCAGAAATTAATACACTTTTGTATTTATAGCAAAACAGCAACAAAGATTTTACAGAGATCATACATAAAAAAATGCTATTAAACATTACACAATAAAAGTAATAAAAAAGTATGAGACTACATCTCAAGATAAAAAAAAACAATATATTAATGATATCATTATAAATATTAATAATTTTTTTCTTAAAAGGAAAAATTATATATAATAGATATAAGATAAAAAAAAATTTTGAGTTGTTACAGCACTAGTGACTCGTTTTATGAACAGTAGGCTGACAGGAAAGGGAGTATGAGAGACATGCGGAAAAGTACCACAGGCCGGATTCGAACCCGGGTCGCCCATGTCGAGGACTAAAGGGTTGGTTATACTTCCCCCAGCAGTGTGTCGCAGTGAGCTTGACGCAGACATTTTTGATTTATGCTCAATTTTGAAGTGTGGACTGCGCTATGTTATATTCCATGCCACAACGCAAGAGGGGCAATCACAAACTAGCTGTGGGTCTAGAGACGGCCGAAGTGGTGAGGAAGTGGGGGCAAGTTTGTTTGACAACGGAGGGACATGAGGGCGAAAAAGAGCGGGGATTCAGGAGGAAAAATGGTCCCTCTTCTAGGTCGTCTAAGTTCACTAGTTGTTTTACACAATTGCGGTCATACAAACAAAACAAGCCGACAAGCGGATGTAGATTTGACCACGCAGAGGCCTCCTTTCTGCGGCACTGTCTGCGGTCACCTACAATTTGGGAGAGGTGCAGAGGGGGTTT